GTATTTTGAAGTCAGTTTTATCCACTTGAATAATGGTGACTGCAGTACACAAATTTGAGCCAAATAATGAGTATGTTTAAGACAAAGGAACCTGACCAATTACAGTTGAATGGACTTAATGTATGGGAAGATGTTTCTTTGACCCAATGAAGCAAATCATAGTTGGAGATAAGAGTCTGGAAAAAGCACAACAAGGTTTAATTTATATTTGTGATGTTACTAGGATTTGGGGCAAGTTATTTAACCTAATCTCAGTCTTCTCACCATAAAATAAGGTAAAAACATCTCATAAAGTAAGGCAAGAGGTTTCTTTGCATGGGAAGGTGCCCAGTACAGTGATAGTACTCAATAAACATTAGCTCTTATTACTACTTTGTGCCTCAAGTCTGACTTAGGAGCAGATGGGGACACATTACATGAGTATGTTTTAGCACTGCCCTGGCATAGGAGAAGGCAGGCGTAATGGCCTCAGTCTGGAAATATGCGCTGAGGCGTGCGTGCCTGAAGAGAGTACCTGAATCCTGATCCCACGATGGTCAGCCTGGTGCCCCCTGCTGTACTGCCTCTCTTGGGAGATATTGCAGCGACATGTGGAGTCAGTGACTCCATGTGGGTAAACGGAGTCGTGGACTGTGACACATCTTTCCCATTGACCACACTCACTTCACAGGCTTGCTCGGGTCCCCTGCCTGTGACAAGAGGATCAAACTGAGTGCAGCTCTGGCCATCAGGCCCTTATTCATTTCCAACCCCTCCCCCAACATTTTCAATAACATCTTCCTTTTCCCACAATCACTTTCCAACATACACAGGCTATATGTGAAATATTAATAATGAAGACCGCCAGCAATAGCCAAAAACATCACAAAGTTCATGCACATTACTGACAGGGAAAAAACCCTTCCTCCCTCAGAGACTCTTATTGTAGAGAATGCTGCAAACCCGCTCCCTTACTTTTCCAATTCTAGAGGATCCAACATTGCAAATTAGAGCAGGAAGGAGGGAAGAACTGCTAAAGGGAGGCACACTGACAGCAGCAAGGGTGATGGCTGAAGGTGAGGAAAGAGAACTACAGAAACCTGATACGAAAACAAAACAAAGACACACAGAGCCAGTGTTCAGACAAGCAACCCAAAATCTCGGCAAATCTTGACAGCATTGCCACATATTTTTTTATTAGGCTACACTCTGGTGTCAAAATGGTAAGTAAGCCCAGTCATTTTCTTCAATATTCTTTAAGAAGTCAGAGGAAAGAAGCAAAAATGTTTAGAAAAGCTTCCCAAGTATTGTTACTGTTTTAAAAAATATTTGCACAAACTGATCAACACATAAGTGCACATATAAAAATAACATCTATTGGATGTCGGGCAGGAGGGAGGAGGGAGGGGAGAGGAGGGGACGGGTATATGCATACACAAAGAGTGCGATGCGCACCACCCGAGGGACGGACACGCTTGAAGCTCGGACTTGTAGGGGGAGGGGGGCAAGGGCAACATACGTAACCTAAACATCTGTATCCCCATAATAGGCTGAAATACAAAAAAAATATTTGCACATAAAACATGTCCTTTATTGACCTAGAATAGTCATGTTGTTTAAATTATTTCTTAAATGTTGTTAAATAATAACTAATAGTTGTTATCTAAATTCCCAGATATTTAAACTTCACAACCTCCTGAGTTAGAGTTAACAATATCTCCATTTAGTAGATGAAAAAACTGAAGAATAGAGGAGTTGAGTTACTTAGCTCAAGTTACACAATAAATGGCAAAATTGAGATTCAGAGACTCCTCAGAGCCCAGGCTCTTAACTACTAACTACAAATAAATAAGGGTAATAATGATAGCAAATAACATATGTTCTAGATATCATTCCATCTACTTTATATGCATTAACTTACTAAACTTCATAATAATCCTATAAAGTAGGCTACTGTGATTAATCTCACGTTATAGATGAACAAACTGAGACACTGAGAGCTTAAATAATTTGCCCAAAGACACACAGCGGGGGTTTGAACCTTGGCAATACACTACCAGGGTTCACATTCATGACTATTACATTATCCTATCTTTAAGGGAAGCCTGGTACGCTAATAGGAACTAAAAACATGTTCGCCATTTGACATCCTCAACAAACTAAGAGCCGTCAGTTTATGTCATAAATTGAAACACTGTAATTTATTATAAAAAATTTTATTTATAACCCAAATTTTATGAATCTTGAAAGACTTTCAAACCTAGAAAATAAAGTTCTGAATAAATTGCTTAAAATTAGCACAGTCATAAAGTGATTTATTAA